GCCACCAGCTCCTTGGGCCGGGGTTGGCTTTTGAGGGGCTGGGCTGGCCTGAGCACTGGGACCCTAGCTGGGAGCTCTCACTGGCCCGACTCGCCCAGACACGTCTCGCCAGAGTCAACACCCAGAGCCCGGTGGGTCACGCCGGGCCCATGAGAACAAGGACGCATGAGGCGGACAGCCAGAAGGCCTCGGGGGTGGCGGCCGGTGCCCAGGCCGATGCAGGGCTCGAGGCCGGGCTGCGCCCCACAGACCTCCTGGCTGGACAGACAGCAGAGCGGCACTGACCCTGGCAGGCTGGCCCCGCTGGGCCACGACCCCGGGCGCCGCCTGGGGCAGTGCTGGCTCCTCACGGCCTGCCAGTGTCCAGCTTGAGCCCGAGTGCCATCAGACACCTCAGAGGGCAGAGGGACGGGAGGGAGGGGCAGGGAGGACAGACTGCCCCGAGGAGACGGCACCTCCCACCTCTCACCCGCGTAGGGCCGCTGCGCCTGGCCTGGCCGCTTCCCTGGTGACCGTCAGCGCAGAGCGGAGAGGACTGCTGCGGTGGGGGCCGGGGCCAGGCCACCTGCGTGAGACCCTCCAGCGCAGCGGGGCTGAGCAGGTCGCTGCGACAAGGGGACTTCAGCCATGGGGCGCCGGGGCGCAGCAGGAGGCGCAGGGAGAGAGGGCTCCCGCCTGGAGGGCCGGTGCCAGCTCACCCCGTCCGTCTGTCGGGGCCTGGGGTGGCCTCTACCTGAGAGCCGGGACGGGAGACGCATGGCCACGGCAGCAGGGCACGTGAGCACAGCCGTGGGGTGCGAGTGGGCCCCAGAGAGAGGCGGGCAGAGCTGAGCAGAGCACCAAGGTGGTGGAGGAGGGGCGGCTTGGGGCAGGGCAGGCGGTCCCGGCTCCCAGCTGGCCAGCTGCCCAGCCGCCTCTGGGCCCAGGGCCCCTGTGGGCACGTGGGCCTGCCCAGCACCCTGGAGCCCGGCCGCGGCGCCCCGCGGAGGTGTGGCCCAGGGGACCCGGCACAGAGTCCGTGTCCTGCGGAGGGCAGCCGTCGGGAGGGCCGTCGGCCCCACAGCACTCCCCGCCAGCGAGCTCCTGGGGCCCCTGCCGGCACCCAGAGACACCGCCCTAAGGATAGTGGACCGCAGGCCACGTGGCCTCCTGCCCGGCCTCTCCCTGGGGGTGGCTTAGGCCCCCACTGCCCTACCGGTGGGCACTTCTGGGCCCTTCCAGTCACTGCACGGCCCTTTAGCAGTGAGCTTGGGGCCCGGAGGGCCAGACTCTTGGGGCTTTGCCCCGCCGCGCCTAAGCCTCCCATGCCCCCACCTCCAACCGGGGCCTCTCCGTGGCGAGATGGCTGGCACCAGTTCTTGGAGTTTAGAGTCTCCCAAGAAGAGAGTAACTAGTCAGCAGCGGCTCTCTCTGCCCCTGGGACCACTTCCCTGTTTGAATGACACAGTGGCAGGGTCGTGGCCTGAGTCCCCGCAGCAGGGAGAGGCGCCCCGTGGCGCCCGAGAGCACTGGCTGGTGCGGGCCGGTGCCGGGTGGTCCTCTCCCGGGCACAGGTGCCCCGCAAGCTGGGCCCCGGCTCTCTGGGTCCCGCGGGGCCGCAGGCTTCCAGCCTTCCTGTCGGAATGGCGCCCTGCCTCCGAGGAGATGCAACCTGAGCTCCCGAGAGCCGGAGCCTGCTCAGCGTGGCGGTCCTCGCCCCCAACCCCCACCATCCCCGCCAGCACCTGCTCCCCCGCCGGGGGCCCTTCCATTCTGGACTGACCAGAGCAGGGGGACGGGGCTGCCCCCGATCAAGGCCCTCTCAGCTCAAGGGTCCTGCAGCCACACCAGCGAGTGTCCGTGTGGGGTGGGCCCTGAGTCCGGGCTGCGTCCCCGGAGTCCCCTCGCCAAGGCCACACGGGAATGTGGGGCTGAGCTGGGACTGCACCTGGGCTCCCCGCTCTGGGCTCCAACCCGGGCAGGCTCCGGGTAGGCTCGGCTGAGGGGCACCCACCCTCCCCTCCGCTCCACAAGGCAAAGCCTGCTTAGCGCTGCCCAGCCGTCCTTAAGGTTCCCCCGTGCGAATTTTCTAGTGTTTTTTGCTCAGTCTTTGCCATGTGGATTTAGGTTCGCAGTGGCGATGGTGGGGTCAGGAGTCTTCTGTCCTACCTCCCACCAGGCACACCTCACAGTGACCAGAGGTCAATGTGAACCTCGATGACCCACAGACTGGACAGTCAGCACGTGTGAGGCTGAGGCTGCAGTCCAAGGAGGCTCCACGGCCCCCAGAGAGGCCTCGGTGCCCCCACTCTGCCTGCAAAGAGGGGTCCTGGGCCCCAGTCCTCCAGCTGCCAGGTCATGACACCCCAGCCAGCTGGCTCGGCCCCCTCAGGCCACGAGCCTCGGCCGGTGACTCCCCTCGAGTCAGTGTGTCCCCCTCCCCATCAGCTCATTTCAGAACACATCAGACACCTTGAAAAGAATCTCAAGCGGAACACAGAGCAACAGTCTGTGCGGCCTCGGCTGGCCTGCGCGGCGTCATCAGCGGTGAGCCGA